GTTCCAGGCCAGGTTGGATGGGGCTTGGAGCAACCTGGGCTGGTGGGAGGTGTCCCTGCCCATGGCAGGGGGTGGAATGGAATGAGCTTTAAGGTCCTTCCAATCCAAACCATTCCCTGATGCTATGACTGCAGTTTGGAAGACACAACAGGCACCAACAGTGTGTTTACTAAGAGGATTTTATTTACACAACACAATGAGATCATTCCATAGAAAGTTGGCTCCCCCAACACACACTAAACCTGCCAAATTTTACAGTGCAATTTTGTAACAGCTTTTAAATATTTACAGAACACTTTCTTTTTTCCAACTCAGGGGTTAAGGCAGAGTCAGGGCACAGTGATAAGAGACACTTAAGTGCAGCTTTGTGCTAGGCATGATACAGAGATGAACTGGCAGCATCAGGTGTTCAGATCCATGGGAAATTCAGGTTGGAATTACTCCTAGAAGTCCAGCAACTGCAGCTTAATATAAAAAAAAAGGAGCTAAATTATACAAACAACCAAAACACAAGCCAGAAGGTAAGAAAAATGTTTGGCTACTGTGGGAGATGGAACAGGGATACAAAATCCTTACTGTGTTAGCAGTGAAGTGTGGATCCTGGGCAGGAGATGCTGTAGGAGACACTATTTTCCCTAATGTTGGGGAAAAACTGAGATAGGAAGCAGGATGACAACACCCCTGGGATCCAGAAAGGGACTGGATTCAAAGACATCCAACTTCTGCTGGAAGACAACAGGAGTGAGGTACCCAGTGAAGTACCCAACTGCTCCTCATGCCCTTGAAAACCTTTACCTCAAGCTCCAAGGGACTCACCTGGGAGGTCACACTTCAAACAGCACTGAAGGATCACAATGCACAGTACTAGAGTTGGTTTTTCACAGCAAGTTATCACAACTCAGAATTGTTCAGCTTCATCTTTGGTATTTATAAGTTAAAAAAATGCAAGTCCCTTTCAGTCAAGGGCTCAGAATGCAGCAAATATCTCAACATCATTTGTTCCTAATCCACAGCAGCTTGAAAGGATTGTGATTTTTTTTTTGTTTTCTTTTAAGGCAATAACTAAGCTGGTAAGAAAAAAAAAAGGGGGTTTATATTCATTTCAATGGTTTCTAAGGCAACATCTTCACATGGCTAAAGAAACTGCAGGACAAGGATGGAGCAGTTTGAGAAGTTGGGATGAGTCCTTCCTCCAGGGGAAAAAGGGAGCAGAAAGTGATCTTAGGGATGAGGTGGTAAAAGCCTCATCCTATAAGGAATTCCTTCCCTTAGCCCTTATTCTTCCAAGTGAGCCCTACTGATTCCACAGCTCCTGGGACTTCTGCTTAAGGCTAGTTCTGCATTTCAGCTTAGGAGGATCAAACTGGGATCCAAACTGGGATCTAAACTGCTTATGGCAAGTCATTCAGCTGGTAGGACACGTACAAAAAGCACAAGGGGACACAGGTTATGTACAGTGCTGTCCCCATCAGCCCTTCAGGATGGCACTCAAAGAGACATCTAGGTAAAAATTCCCTAAAAAGCATCTATTTAAAATTAAAAAAACCCCAAAACTTCCACTACAAACCCATTTTTTTTCATTTCCTAATCATAAAGTCAGGACTAACCAGCCCTGGAAGCCTTTGTTATCCTGGAAAAACATCGCTGGAGCTTTGTCCTGTCGTACTCTGGAGTTAGTGTTCAGCACCAATAGAAGTTTGCAGCAATCCAAGACAATTCCAATTGGGAAATGCTTTTAGAAACCTGAAATGGATCACTTTTGGAAATCTGATGGCAAATGCTAGGCTGGAGCCAGGCAGGGCCCAGGGGTAGTACCACCTTGCCCTGGCAGTGCAGAGCTAACTACAACTGGGCACAGAGTGGAGCTCATGGTTAGGAAAAGGAATCAGCAACAGCTCAGCTGAGGCAGAATCCTCTCTCCCAAAATGCTGTCAATGGCCTGAGAGAGGCTCAGGCAAGGAAAGGCACTTTGGGGCTCTCCTGGAGAGAACCTGGTCATGACTCAACACACTGTTTTAGACAGTAGGCAGTAATGAAAGTGGACACTGTGTGTTCCACTGCCCCAAAAGTGACCCCACGAGGCCCAGGCTCTGTGCAAGACTCCAGGGACAGCTGCTTCAGCCACACAGCTCTGTGCAGGAACACCAGCCAGCAAGATTCTGATCGGTTTCTGCTCAAAACCAAGAGCAAAAAGGTCACAGAAGAGGTTTTTATTGTCTTCAAACAGCTGAAGATGCAGCACAGCTCAGAGGTGGCCAAGAGATGGCAGCAGCCAACTCAGGGAGCCTCGAGGCTCACCCAGCTCTGCACAACTTGCCCACCAAGGAGCAGATTCCACGGATTTCCCTCCCTCTCTGCTGCAGTTTCAGAGCTACATGTGTAACCAGCTGTGGTTTGTGTCATTCTCAGATCCATCCTGTCATACAACAGCTGATAACTCAGTGCTCGGAGGAGAAGTGACCTGTGCTCCTCTAGCTAGGAAAGAACAAGTGTTGCACAATCCTTTTAAACTAGAAAAAAAAAATTATTAAATGGCTTGAGGGTCACTGAGTACCAAAAGTAAAGTGCACCAGAACTGGAGGCCACAGCGACAGAGCTGAGAAATGCTAGTGAAGAGGTTTCCAAGGAGCAATATAAAAACAGCACTACAAACTAAGGTTAAGGCAATAAGAGTTGTGTCCTTCTGCCAGGCAGTTTCCTGGAGAATTGTCTGTCTCAGGCTTTAATTATTGCTTTGTTTCCTCTGTCCTGGAGTCCTCAGCCACTGGGCAAACAGTGCTGGCAGAGTTGGCAGGTTGAGTTTGTCACTTCATGCAGGACTGGGCACAGTCCCTATAGACATCCCATGCTCTGCAATGCCCAAGGGATTGATTACTCTCAGCTTCCCACAGACTGTACAGTCTGGCAAAGAGTTTCAAAGGAAAAACTCTTCTCCTGAAGCAGCCAAAGGTGCTGATAAACACATGGAATCTTTCAATGGTGCAGAAAACAATCCTCAGTAACAACCAGGTAACAAAACAGTCCTGAAGTCTCCTCCAAGAGTTGATAGCCCTCAAGTTTTCTTCAATAATAAAAAAAAAAAAAAAGGTCTTTTGTGGGTATAAACCCCAAGTACAGCAACAGAATTCCATGGCTCAGAAGTCCCAGGTAAAGCTGTTACTTCCCTCCTTTCATGTAGGATGGGATTGCCCCTCGGGCTGTGAGGCCTTCGAAGCGTTTGTAGGTGTAGTTGATAAAAACCCAGTCCTTGTTCTTGTAGTCAGTCTCTGGGTGGTTGCTGGTTGCCACTGGTAAGACAAAGAAGAAGTAAAATTACCCTTTGAAGACTGCAAAGTTTGTTTTCTTACAAAACACGACGTGGAATGAGGCAGAAGGATCATAAGGCAATGCTATAAACCTTGGAGTGAGCTATGTGCTTCAACCCCAGGAAAGAACTGCTGGACACAGGACATGGCACAAGGATTTTAAGCTCAAAATGGGCAGATTCCGAGGAGATATGAAGAAGTTTATACAATGTGGGCTGTGAAACTCTGGCACAGGTTGTCCAGAGAAGCTGTAGCTACTCCATCCCTGGGAGTGTTCCAGGCCAGGTTGGACAGGGCTTGGAGCAACCTGAGCTGGTGGAAGGTGTCCCAGCCCATGGCAGAGAGTGGCACTTGATTGTCTTTGAAGTCCCTCCCAACCCAAATCAGTCTGGGATTTCTGTTTTTAAACACATGGAGCAAATGTGTGATTGTGCTGTGATCCTTTAGAGATTTACACCAACA